AACGAAAGAAAAGGGCAGCCCACCTCAGGACATCAAAAGCTGCGGCTGGGTCCACAGCTTCCACGCGCGTGAGGGCTTCCGTAGAGTATGTTTGCTTCAGTGCTTATTTGACCTCCTTGCAAGGTTCTGTGTACAACCTTGAGCCCTGGCCAGCCACGGGCTAACTTGCTCATGGCTTTCTGAGTATTGATCTTTCAGAGCAAGCTCTGGCACGCTTTTGTCTGAGGATGCCTGTGTCGAGGCTATTTGATGACGTTGGACGTTGCTACAAGCTTGATGTGTCCTTCTGCGCCGCTGCGCATCCCATAGCATAAAGTCAAACAAGAGAGCCCGCTGAGTTTAAGCATATCATATAAGTAGGCGGAGGAAAAGGAACCAAACAGGATTCCCTTAGTAAAGGCGAACGAACAGGGTTGGAAACCAGGGCCCTGGTCCTGGGTTGTAGCCGGCGCTATCGCTCTTGGAACAGAGCGTGCGCCCAGGTGAGAATCCTGTGTTTCGCTTGAAGTCCGCCGTGTACGCAAAACGAAGGTTTTCCGCAGTTGCCCAGCTGCAGGTCTACTGGGGGATGAGACATGAGTGAAGGTCTCAGCCTCATCCTTGCCTGCTTGCACATCAGCGCAATCGAGGACTACCCAGTCGAAGGTCATTTGAAGAAGTGGCCATGGCTAAGGCAACAAAGAAGAAGTGCCAGGATCTGATGTCCACAGCTCACTTTCATGGAATGTATTCTTGATTCAAGGTACATTATATGCATGCTTTCCACACGTTCCAAGCACGTATAACCGTATAACAAACATTGAAACAGCAAGTGTTTCCATTGTTGAGCTCACTTGGTCCTGGCAAAGCCCCTCCGCGACATCGGCACCAGAAGATCTGCTGATTTCAGCTCCAGGATCTCCACAAGTTTTCGTTCCCATGGCTCCCGGATGGCCACAAAAATATACAATCGGAAGCTCGGAAGATCTGACAAGCTTGGATGAGTTGCAAGGGTCATTGTGCAAGCAGTCAAAAAAACTTGTTTTGGCTGGGATGTTGAGGACAATATAGAACTCAAAGCTGCCACCGAGTCAACTATTCAAATAATCAATCAAACAACCAATCAAGCAACCAACCAACCACAAACTCAACCAACCAGTCAGTCAATCAATCAATAGTCAACCAATTTGAAGTCTTGTTGCTCTCGGCTAGCGCTACGATTTAATGTTACTGAAAAAAGAAAGCAAAAGCATGCAGCCGCAGCCTTGGAAAGGAGGACCCGGGCAAAGCTGTGCCAAGGCACACGAGCAATTGCAGCTGCCTTTGCAATGCCAAAGCAGCAGAAAGCCGATCATGTGCAAGCTACAACTATGCCTTCTTCGCAGCTCGCTTATGCCAGGCCACGGTGTCACTGCCTTAGGGATATTTTAGATTGAGAGTGCGAGAGTTCGCGCACTCTTTTGCTGTTGCATGAGTCAACAAACTCTGAATGGGAAAGTACGTTGCTTAGTCTGTTCCATTTTGGGGTCGCAGGCTCTTTGGTTTCTCAAGCAGAGCGTACCGCGTCTGCATACGCCTGCTAACTTGCTTTCTGCAGCAAAGGATCCTGACGTTGGAGGAGCAACCAGCGGAGACAGCTCCTAACCACAAAAATGTCTGATTTCAGCTCATGTCAGCAGTCATGCCTATCTATTACCTGTCAATGGTTTCGTCGAGTTAACGTGTTGTGCCGATGCGCAGCAGTCGGTTTTAAAGTCCTGTACATGCAAATCGAGATCTGCGTAATTCCGCAGATATTTGTAGTTGCGATCAGCGTACCTGAAAGACATATATACTTCAATTGGGTCAACCAGAAAGGTTACACACCTGCCCTTGCTGTGAGCGGCTCACCTACGAGCTTTGTTGGAATCAGAAAGAACGGCCAAGGCATGTCCTTGGCATCAGCCCAACGAGGGCGTGTCCAAGAAGTGCTAAGCGATCCAAATGGTCTGAGGCTCCACCCAAGGGCCATCCACACGAAACTGCTGATAGAAGCCCCTGGACAAAACACTTGCTCAAGGCTGGCGGCTGATGAAGCCAGACCACCAAAGACCGCTCAAGCTGCAGAGCAGAAATGTTCAGGCTGATACCTTTTTCTGCGTCCAAAGAGTGCAGCCTTGGCCGGCCTCATGGATAACTTTGTCCAGGACGTTGCTGTGCTTGTCAAAGTTGTGCCTCCAGTTCCGAACAAAGTCCGAAACCAAAGATCTGGACTCCAAACTCGAAGAGTTCTCTTGATGCAAGCAAGCCACGTGAATTGCACCACCGCGCTGGCAGCCTACATGGGGTCTCGCTTTCAATAGAAAAATGGGGACGTCGGCGAAACCATGTAGAATTCATCATGTGCTGCATTGCAAATTGTTGACCACGCATCTCAGAGTCAAGGAGGCAAATGGGCAACAAGTTTGAAACGCCTGAACTGCCGCCAAGAAAGCAGTTCCAATTGGGCACCTGAGCCGACAGCGAGATCAAGATGCCACTGAAGGAGTTTGTTCGACTTCGATCTATTTGGCAACTGAGGGGCTTTCCTACAAACATATGTTTTGATCGCAGCACCTCCATTAAAACAACGATTGATTCTGGACAACTGCAAGATTAAAGGTGGACCCTGTGCCCGACCACTGCTAGGTCAACAAGGATGATGGTTGCTATAGTACGTGATGCTGATGATGCAGGTTCCTACTGAGGCATTTCTTACATTATCAGCAAAGCTAGCCTCAGCTCGGAATGAGCCGCATGGAACAAGCAAATTAAAGAAATCTTTGGAGGATTTGACCAGAGAGGCAACGCCAATGGAAAATTTTTGAAGAGGAACTCAATGAAGTGCAAACGGGATGGAGGACTGATCAGCTGCTAACTCGTATGCGATGGCACCAAGTGTCTCGTAGGATCAATTTTGAGATCAAGATTGAGAAGGGTGGCCTTGAAAGTAAAAGGAACAGCATGGCTGGCACGAAGAATTCCATGAGATAGACTATTTTGGCCTGGGACTCAACCATCCAGACAAACTTGCGCGGACTTTTCTGGCGAGGATGGGCTTCATTGGCATTCTGTTTGAGCCTAATGAAACTTACTTGTGCTTAGACATTGAAAGACTTCTCCACAAAGGCTGTATTTTGGAAGGTGATCAGGCTTAGAACAAGGAACTATCCTTTGCAAATTGGAAGATCCTGTACAATTCGGTATGCTCAAAAGGCTTCCACACCTGTATCTAGACTTGGACTGTGGAGTAGGAATGCAATAACGGTTGGCATGGCTCATTTCTAGTAACATGCAACCACGAAGATTTCTGCGGAGCAGGAGCATTTCATCTTCGTAACAATTCTCTCATGCATTTCGCGTGACAGCCCTGGGAGGGCCCATTCTAGCAATCCCGAGACCTCTAAATCCCTCTGATCTCACCTGACATCACCCTATCCTCATACCTTTGCCAAATCGTAGCACTAACAACGACAACTGATGGTTATTCCTGCTGATGCAAACATTGAGATCAGCACTCCAACTCCGCTTGCTTGGTCGAGGCTTCATCCTTCCATATCTGATGGTTGGACTAAGTGATTATGTCAAGATCGTTTTCAGTCAGCATAGTTAACTTGTTGGGTCTATAAACAGATGAATCCGGAAACAGCAAAGAGCTAGGGGCTGACCACGAAGTTGTCTATAAGCAAAAGCAGCTTGACAACCTGAGCAATGCCAGACTTTAAAAGAGCTACAAGGAGGTCTGCAGGGCCTCTGGACTGCGAGATCCTTCTGTAAACTGCATCCGCGACCTGGAAACAGCGCAGACTTCGATCAAACCGCTGACGGCTAAAGCTCACAGACTGACATCCACGAGTTGAGGCAAGGACCAGTGACCTGCGATCCACCGGAGTTTCTTCCAATCAACTGCCTCAACAATCCACTTGAGACGGTCGTCAAGGGCTTCAGTAGTTTCCTGACACACTGGCTGGCACTACTGAAAGCATCCAAGTATTTCAAAAGGCAACAAAAATCTATCCTTGCATGTACTTCACAGTTTAACTGCAAAAAGAATGGTGTATATATACAATGTATACAATATAATAAAATGCATGTTGAAAGAAGTTGCAGGGTAAGCAAACCCAACACTGCCACTCAGGCTGCATCACCACCAACTATGTCGTCACACCTGCAGGACAATAGGGGGCAAAGGGTGATAAGGGAGATCTTCCACCTTGATTCAAAGCTCGGCACGCATTGCCAGGAACTCCAGCTATATCCTCCAGTAAATACTTACTCATACATTACACACAAACAGGATCACAGGTATACCGGTACACCAGCATACCAAAAGGTATACAGTAAGTACATGTGCAAGTGCACCATGCAGGTGCCATCACCCCTCTTGAACACTATCACTAAGCTTGGCTGGCCATGTCTTAATGAAAGATCCTTTGCCCGCATATCCAACGGCGTGTTGCCAAAAAAGACGCTGATGAACAACCCATGCTTTCGGTGTGTGCTCCTTTGAACATATTAGCTGCTCTGCCGGTTACCACATCATATCGCATGGTTTGAACCCTCTTATCTGAAGCTCAATCCATCCTTCCTCGATATATTCTAGGACTGTTGGTCAGGGTGTGCCCAAAAAGGCTCTTCTGAAGTGCTTCACACAGTTCGACTCTTGATGCTTGAACGTCCTTGTCCATCTTCAGTGTAAAGATCTCGATGGCCTTCAGATCAACGAAGATTCAATTGTCCAACTGAAGGTTACAAAAGAAAAAGGTCAATGGGTTCAAGTCCAGGCCTCAAAGACTGGCCACCGACTTGAGCATATCTTGGCAGCAACTACAGGATTCAGAAAGCAACATCACAATTGTCTAAAGTAGTTTTCTCAGAGCTCGACCACGTGCACAGGAAACTCGCTAGCTAAAGAATCCTCAGAGTGATGTTGCTGGCTTTATTGACCACAGGCATTTCACATCACCAATGACCAATCTTCGTTGCATGTCTGGTGCCGCGAAGTAGGTGTTTGACAGCGACATGGGCTGAAATTTGCATCACCTTACCAATGCACATGGATTCTTGAAAGCAAACAACAAGCACATTCTTCATCTTGGAACCACAGCTGAGAGGACTCAAGTTCTCCACTTCTTTTCTGTGCCGTTCGCTTACAAGTGGGTCAGTTGACTCCTGGAAGCTTCACCAAAATGCAACTTTCACAAAATGCTCACAAGTGAAAACAAATGAAGAAAGAAGAGATGAAAAAGGAAGATAAGGCCCCTTTAAAGGAGGCCTTACCTTCCTTTGTTCATATCTTTTATCGTCCTTTATTTTCATTCAAAAGAATAAGTTTCTGAAATTGAGGTAAAGCAAATGTCAATGAAAGCGAATCTGGACTAAGGAGTGATGAACAAGCTAGATCTGCCATTTGGACTGCACCAAAGGATATGGTTTTGAATCGGTCATCGACATCTACTATATCTATACACTGAATGCATTGTCCACAGGTCTAGATTGTCTTCACTGTACTTTTCAGACTTGAGACAACAAAACGCTATTGCTATTTGTGTGTCTGCGCTTTGCCAACCTCTGTGCTCTCAAATGCCGCTGTATAGAAGTGGACGATGGCGAGGTTCAAGAGCTGGCAGACAAAGTCTCTGCAAAACTTTCAGTGACCAAACCACGACCCTGCTCTGCGTGATGACATGCTGGCAATGCTCCCAAGGGGCACTCCTGAACGCAAACTGACTGGCAAGTCGATATGAAAGCCTAGCAACATAGGCAAAATGCTGGAGTGCCATGCAACAAAACTAAATTCCCGCCCTGAACTTGAGAGACTGTAAATGCGTTTGCCTGCTACCTGCTTACTGCTCCTGCGCGGCTTCTTCTGCTTGCTGCAGCAAGAGGCGCCCAGACCTCAAGAACAGCTCTGATGTATACTGTATGTCAATGGATGATAGGGTCCATCTTGTCTGCTGTTCGTCTGCTATGAATCTGTGCAAGTTTTGCTTTGGACATGTCTCCGTAATTGGCTGGCTTTCAACAACCCAGCAGAGTGAAACTTGCAGCTCTTGCTGCCACAAAGTCTGACCTGGTGCCTCTGTTCAGAATATGCAAGCACGCCTCTGTACTTGGGTGCTCACTTCACGACTCAACCGAAAGCCAGCACACTCTCACGGGAGCTTCACAAACTGTGCTAGCATGTCTATGAGAAGCCAGCTCTCCCTACAAGCTTCTACATTTGCGCATCATCGTCGTCATCCTCATCAGCGTCCTCCATTGCTGCATCATTCGCATCAGCATTCCACATGACTCCCAGCTCAACCTGAGGCTGTAAATTTCCACCTAAAACATCCTCAAAGTCACCCTCCGATTCACTGTCATCTGCTTGCTCATCATAGGGATCCGGGTTCAACGCAGACATTTCCGAGAAGACCTTGAACATCCTCAATGTCGCATGTAGAATCCAACAAAGCAACTTTTGAGCTTTTAGTGCATGGAGCATAGACCGCTTAGCCAAAATTGCTTAAAAGTGCGATCAAGCCACTCTTGCAAATGTGACGGTTCGGCTGGTACGAATCTGAGCTCTGGCACTGATACTTCCTCCTGCAAGTCGACTCGGAAGAGTTGCTGTGCAAATCAAGTCATCTTTAACATGTTGTGTCAACAAGGATCCTACATTCAATCTTGCTCAACAGGCACCTCATCATTCTCATCTTCTTCTTCCCGAAGTTGGCAATACAAGCAAGGATCGGGCCAGGCATTTTTGTCCCTTGAGACAGCATGCCTCGGTTCATTGAGCATGCAAAATGCAATGAAATGCATGCACTGAAGACCTCAGCCTAATTTAGACCAGGTTCATCGTGATGAATGGATAGTCAATCGCACAACCAGGACCACCCAGCCAGACTAGACGTTTTGTGGTCAGATGGAGCACGCCTTCACCTTCAAGATGCTGCCTTGTGTAGAGCCTGGTGCAATTGGGCAGTCATTCCAATGCACAGAGAGGAGATGAAAGCAACCCTTGCGTGGAATGCACGCTGTATGTGTTTTTTAAGGGAAGACCCCTGTAATAATACACAAAGAGAGTCTATGTTTTTCTGCTAAGGACGGCCAGCGGGTGCTGCAAAGTCCGGCATGATCTGCAACTCTGAAACGCACTGTGTTTCAACTAGGACTCTTAGTCTCAACAAAAACCTGGACTCTCTTGTTCGGTCGCTCGGTTCGTGTCGCCTGGTTCGGGGCTCTGACAATCGAATCTCCTCACCCTCTAACAGTACCGGAAGGTCCCCATTCCTTGCTGGTCCTTTCTCAATTGGCATGGCACAATCTACGGGATAACAAAATTTGAGCGGATTGGAGCCAAAACTGACAATGTCACGCCAGGCGGACACAAGCAAAAATCAAGTGATGAACGCCCGGTGTGCATTCCACCAAGAGGACCCTGACAAATGGGTTCTAGGCTGCATGTCCTTCCAGAGGGGTTTTTGTGGGTCTGTGCTGAAGACAGACGCACATGCAATACAAGAATTGAAGATAAATACAATTCTGTGGTCGTAGCAATCTCGGGGGACGAGGCCAAGGGCCTCCTGCTCCAGTTGTGCAGGGTGAGATTCAACATAAAATCCTTCCAATACAAAAAACAAAACGTCCTTTCTGTGCAGATTGGACAGCTGCCTCCACCTGTTCAAGGATGCGCAAACGATGGTCTCAGTCTCAGCTGATTTGCTGAATGGCAATCTTCCACCTGAAGGTTACAAAGATTTGCATCGCCTCACGATGAATGCCGTTCCAATCTGCAACGGTCAGCCTTGGCCAAAGAAAAGAATGTGTCAAAACTGATAAGCTGTCAAGTTGCAGTAGGTCACACCTCTGCTTCACACAAGCGCAATCGTAGTCAAAAAATGGTGGTCGAGATGCATCACCTCCAAAGGCAAACCCAGGACAGGTGTTGTTGAAATTCCTGTGAAACACCTGGCCTTTCAATAACCAAATCGCGACCAATAAATAACATCGCCATTCCACCATGCCACCATTTGTGCAAACGGAATTTGTTTTTGCCTAGAAACCAAGTGAAAGTGAGAGTGTTTTCCCAAATCCACAAAGCACTCACACAAACGTGAGTCAAACCTAATGAGTGCTCAAGTCTCACAAATTAGGGTGCAGCCGTGCTACCCGGAAAAAAAATGTAAATATATATATATATATATTCCTTGAAAGGTTAAACAAACAACCGGAAATGTATACCTTGCCTGACCGGACGAAAAATTGGGTCACGCTGTTTTCATAGCAATATCACAATATAAATGTCACACTACATGTTCTTGTACTTGACCCGCTTTTGGTTCAAGTGCTCAGGGTATCACACTGCATCAACAAAATTCCAATACAAAGGCATCTTCACGGAAACACCTGCGTCTTTGTCAAATTGAACCTCCTTTGCAAGCAAATTTAAGCTAAATCGTTTCAACAAAGAATTCAACAACCCCAAAAAAACAAATGTTCTTTATAACACAATATGTTGTCAATGTTTGTGAAAACAATGCTTTGGATGTGGCAAACGTGTAGAAGCTTGGGACCGAAGCCATAAACTGATCGTTTGGCATCTTGAACCAGTGTGAATATTGCGAAATGCAACAGTTGTCATAGTTCTAACACATGAGATACTAGCGGTTCTGACTCACTCAGCGAATATGACTTGTGTGTGAAAACAGACATATACTCCCTGCCCGGATTCTGCACACTGAGCAAAGCATCAGTTTTGGATGTGTTTATGTTGTGTTTTGTGTTTTCCGACCATACGTTTGCAACGCAAAAATTGTGCATTTATTATCATGATTTGCAATAAGAATCTTAGGACACATGAAGCGAACCCGACCAACATCTCCATTGCACTTTGACATTGAGCCTCTGTATGTTTGTGTTGGCCATATTTGTTTCGATGCAACAAGCCAGTTCTGGTCACTTGAAACAAGTTGCCAGAATCTGCAGGCAAAAAAGGAACAGCTTTGAAACAGCACTCAGGTTTGATGGTCTGATGGATGATAAGGCACAAAACACTGCAAAAAACTGGACGACAAATCGCCCCAGAGCGTAGAAGAACAAGCGCACCCTTTTAGGCGCCCTGCGTGTCTCAGGAAAGTATGTCTAGAACTCCTGTTCCCAACTGTACGGACTCACGCAAGCGCACTTCCGCACCAAACCGCATGACACAAGGTGTACCACAAAACCTACCACGAGATTTGGAGTTGGTAACGTCAAGAAAAAGTCAGTGTTTCCATGGTAAGACTCTTATGCGGCGCGGAAAACTCCGCAAGACTGATTGGTCGACACTTTCACCTGAGAGCCGGGGTTCCTGTTCCCTTCACCGCTTCACTGTCTGTCTTCTTTTAGTGACGCACTCAAGGTTGAAACAAGGTTTTTCCTTGCAGCGCGGATTCATCGCTCATGTTGCATTGTCTGGTGGCAAATTCGTCTTTAGTTTCGCACACCTGGCTAACCAGAACCTTGTTTGCTTGGGTTTGTTTGTCGACACGAGAGAGGCAGAAGAACAGTCATGCAAAGGTCGAAGGCACATTTGCAACGCTGACAAAGGTCCCGCGTACAGAAGCAGAACCAGGAATCGTTCAACGCCAGACTATGTACCAAAGGCCGCAAACAGGAAAAGAAACTGGGAGGATGAAAAAACACAGCTTTAGATTCAACAGAAACCATGAAAGCGAAGAGAAAATCAAAAGGTGATCCCAGGGAGTACATATCATTTCAAAACTGTGTGCAGACGTGCATGCAGGCAACCATGCTGCTGAGTCCTGAATGCTAGGTGGTGCTGCCTTTTTTTCCAACTGTGTTTTCTCTGTTTTTTCCATTGACAAACTGAGCTCATCAACTGAGCTTCCAACTTTGACACCAAACTCAGCAACTTTACGAAGCTCAACTCAACCACGCATGCAACAAACTCAGACAAAACGCTCAGGCAAGGCGCACACGACCTAGGTTTTAGCAAAAAAAGGCACAGACGACACAGGCTTCCATTCCATTCCAGACGACACAGCATCACAAGCTTTGCAGGGACTCTGAGTTTCGGATCTATTAGGAGAAAAAGGTTTTTGTGGGTCACAATTTCTTGGGTTGTGGGTGAGTTGAACGTCAGTGATATTCAGAGACAATCGGACTTACAAGAGTGTGAAAACACACGGACAGCGCAACAGTCCTTTTCTCGGTCCCGCTTGAGCCAAAAGCCCAGCACTGAGGCTTTCAGCAAAGCAATCACGTAGCCAAAACAAGTCACAAGCCTCTGACTCTTGAGCTTCACAGTCCAAAGACTAAGAAAGCTCTTCTAAGTACAAGAACCAGCTAAGAAGTCTACCAAGACCACTCTGGTTGAGACTCTCCCAAACCCAAACAGCAAGAAGGAACCAAAAACACAAAGAAGCATCATTCCCATAAAAACCCAATTCAAAATCCCTATACAGAGCTACATGTAGGGTACCATACTGGTCACTCCTAACTTTTCACACCCCTTCTTGGGTCGCTACATGCTAGCTACTCTGTCCTCTTTCCATACATTCCATTGTTCTGTTTTTCCCCAAACAGTTTACTGTTGGGGTTCTATCATAGAAAACAAGAGCTGGCCACACTCACTGGCCGCGCCCCTGAACTCTGTGGCTGGGCTCTGTGGCCCGGCTCTGTGTCCGGGCCTTGTCTCCTCTTGTCCTCTTCTTGTCCTCCTCTTGTCCTTGTCTTGGCCGCGCCCCTGAACTCTGTGGCTGGGCTCTGTGGCCCGGCTCTGTGTCCGGGTCTTGTCCTCCGCTTGTCCTTGTCTTGGCCGCGCCCCTGAACTCTGTGGCTGGTCTCTGTGGCCCGGCTTACTGGAGAGGAGTGTGGCCGAACAAATAGCGATGTCAATCCCGACAAAAAACTCATTGATGAAGCAGTTAAATTTGCTCTTGGGGTGAAGGTAGGGCGTACGAAGAAATCGTTTTTTATTGGTCCAAACGAATCGTTAGTTTTGAAGCTGTTTGGGGTCTATGCTGGTATAATGTTTTTTCTTCTTCTTCTCATTCATTTGAAAAACTAAACTCATCAACTAAGCTTTCAGCCTTGACGTCCACAAGTCTTCAACAGCAAACTCAACAAAGCACACCAAGTTCAACAACCATGCGCGCAGACAACAACTCAAGGCCAAAATCAACTCGACAAGGAATAAAGCAAGGATCCCTCAGATATCTCGTGAAGCCACACAGATTGACTTCTTTGAATCTTTGGTCATCACTGGGATCCTTGAACGACAAAGGCTCAAGAAGGTACCTGACAGGAAAGGTTGTAGGTTCAAAACCCTAAACCCTTACCTTAGACAATTCTCTGGAAAATTCTGGAATTTCCAGGCGGCCCTAGACGACACTGCGTTGCCGGAAATTTCAAGCTTTTCTCCCAGACATTGCATCATCAGCATGACAAGCGCACGTGAATCTTGCGCGTTGCCTTGAGGGTTTCGTGGGTGAGGCTGCTCTGCCGTGTCATTTGGTTGAGAGCAGCCTCAATGCTTTCCAAGAGCTTCATGGGTTGAATCCAGAAGACTGTGCACAGAGTTTGAAATGCTTGGGGGTTGAGACAGATGAGAATCTGCTCTTATCTTTCGTCTTTCGTTTCGCTTCGAATGTTCCATGTTCTTCAGGAAATGACCATGTTTACAGGAGATGAAGCATTACAAGATGTTGATCACTCCATTGAAGGCTCGACATCACTACTTTTGTGGATTTTTTTTGCACGAGTGGAGCCGCCGTACGTGCAGGAAATGCACAGGTCAGCTTGTGCTGTTTTTGGGTGAGTCTCCTGTAAAGAAGAAGCAACAAGCAACACAAAACAAACCAACCCCAAAACCCAAAACCACAAACCGCAACAAACCAAGAACGAGAAAGGAGACTCAACTTTGTACGTGCAAAGGTGAGACGAAAGGTGAAACGGTGACACTGCTATGATGTCATTGTTGGGCAACTAATTCTGGCAAAGGTTCGAGCGGCGCGATATAATAGCTTGCAGTCAAACTGACGGAGGCAAACGGCCTGTTGTGGCAGGCCTATGCGGTGAGCATTATTTAAAGGAGTGCTCATTATGTTTGTCGTGATCAATAGGTAGCTATATGGCAGTTGCAGACTACCTGGTTGTTCTACTGCTAAGCTAGTACACGAATGTCAAGAGAACGCACGAAAGTTGCAGGTGGCCGTGGAAAACAGTGAAGCGCTCAAGCTCTAACGTGACAAGCGAAAGGGCACCAAGCCTCCACTGTGGCCTGCGTTCTGTGCGATTGGATGACAGTTTCCATGATAGAGATGGCGGATCCTACGTGGGCAAATCTGTTGCTACCAACCACCTCCCTCCAGGAAGGAGGGAGGTGTTGCCGCACAGCAAAGGCATACTCCATAACAGCTAGGCCTACAGGAGTATACTTCACTTATGTGGCGAAAGTGGCGAATAGCCAGGTGGCCGCTTCATCCTATTTGCGGTGCAAGCTCTCGACTGTCGACTTTCTAAGATCATGCATCGCCCAGGTGAAACGTGAATGTTGTGTGTACACTATGTACACAGCTGGCAGGGTAGTGACCCACCCTCAGGACAAGGACTAAGGCCCTCGCCTGAGCCCCAGCCAATTGGGCACGCTGTCTAGTCGCATTGCGCCCCAGGACAAGAACTAAGGTGCTCGCCTGAGAGTCAATCACTGGGGCTTGCTACCTAGGTTCATGTTTTTTCTTTTTGGCCGTGTACAGAGACCGGTACAGCCCATGAAAGCTTTTACGTGGATGGTCTGTAGTGTCTTTGGAAGCCAGAGATGTTGAAGTCGCACACAGTGGGAGAAAGTATATTCTCGGATTTCGGTGATCGGAGTGCTAGAAAGGTCAACGAAAGCCAGGAGTTTGCAGTTATCACAGGCAAGAGGGCCTAACAGGCTAATGTCTGGCGGAAGCTTGAGGCATCTCAGCCCTGATGAGCCAAAACATCCTTGTGGTATTTCTCGAAGCAAGGATAATGCTGTCGATTGACCTAACTCTAGCGAGGCTTGTGCTAGCGTG